TGGTGATACATGATGAAGATGATGCATGATAATAATGCATAAATATATGATGTAATGATGGTGAAGTGACGCCTCGAAGGCTGTAATAATCATAATGATGATCGGTTGTGATGATGATGATGTCACGATTAGCGATGATGATATAACGATGATAGAGATGAAAGCGATGTCATTAAAAGAATTGTCAGAAGTGAACCTATTTTCTCCTACAGGTAAAAGCAATCTTTTGTTTGGATGGTAAGAAGATTGAGCTGTCAACCTCACAATCTTGCGACAAAGGTTAGTTTCTGGGTGCTTGCATTGCTTGCCAAGATCTTATCAAGTTTATTCCTATAAGAATAGAGATGCGCGCGTAGACTCATACTGATTCTTCTAGCCAACATGGGTGCCACGGGAGAAAGGTCCACGGTTACAACCCACCGTAAAAATCAACTTCCAAATTCCAACTGGAATACAGTGGACGAAGAACTATTCTGTAGAAATGCCGCAATCTCGTACCCAGAGCCCTTATTTCTTACTGCGCATGCTCGACGAAATAATTGGGCTCTAGAATACTCCAATATTTCCTGTGCTGTGATTGGTTCTCGAGAACAAAGSAAGATACCGGAAGTAAAAATTACAGTAGTAGGGAAAATAAACAAGATGGCGTCTCGAATTAAGTACACCAAAAAAGCCTGTASGGCCGGATTTTTCAAAGTGTTGTCGGTTTTGTAATGGAAATTGTATTGATGTCCATCCAATAGATATTTTCGGAGTTAATTTAACTGAAAACCATCTTCAAAACCTAATTTTCCAAGCGCAAATTCACATGCTCGTTGAACATCGTCCGCCATTTTGAATTTATCTAGTCTGTCATAATGCGCATGTGCGAGAAACCCAGAATCTGGGTCTTCCGGTTTGGAGTTTTCCAGAGCCCAATTATTTCGTCGAGCATGCGCAGTAAGAAATAAGGGCTCTGGGTACGAGATTGGAAATGCCGCTGTTAAGTCCCATTTATAACTACCTATCGTTTATACCAGGGTCACTAATTTTATCCATTTCTCTATCATGATTCCAGTTCTAAAGCCTGCAGAATTGAAGAAAATCCACGGGACTACACTCTACGCGTTTGCTAGGAAGTAAAATAAAGAATCTAAGTATTAACAGGCATTCATTGATCTGGTGAAATACTTCAGAATTTGTTTTTATTCCCTGTTAAACGGAAATCGATAGTAACTCGTTCAATACAGCTYYAAATCGATGTAGCACCATCCCCTCMCCTGCTCCTGTTTCCCATCCCTTACCCTACCCCGCTGCTCAAAATGCAGTTAGATTATCCTACATAACATATCTCATAGCTTTACCGCGGAGCTTATAATCGTGAAAAAAGGCTTTGTTAAGTTTTGCTTGTTATCAGAGCTGAATGCTAATGAATTATAAGACGATAGTTTTAAAAGATTAACGAGTTTTGAAATATTTTCAAAGATTTGTAAAAAAAAGAGTCCGCTACCGAGAAGTTGCTGTATTTCTGAAGAAGATTATTATGACGAGCCCACAGTTTATTGGATCGTAGCGGTTTGTAACATGCGCAATAACATTTTTTAGCCCTCATAAACCAAACTTCTGGACACGGTACACATGTGAGTAGATTTTTCTAGGTTTCTCCCTTGTTTCAAGGATTTTTTCCTGGTTCTTCACTGCTCTGACTTAGATCAGCCCCGTGGCTGTTTCAGGGTTTAATAAATAGACCTCTTAACTTTAGGCGTAATTTTTTTCCATTTCAGACCACGTGTCATTCGCTAGAGTATCGTTTCTTTGTTTAACGGTTGCACATCGGAAGACACATGAATATGGATACAACTCAAACACAAAATAATTTATTCTCGAGAATKACATGCACRTCGTCTGAAATGGGAAAACATTGCCCCCCAGGAAAAAAAGTCYATCGAAGCTTGTATGCATAGACCCCTAGCACTGACTCCCGAGAGGAATTGTTCTGGGGCACAAGAAACAATGGATTTTTTTCCATAAGAAAAAATGGGCTATTGTTTTTGTTCTCCGGAACAACTCCTCTAGGAAATCAATGCACGGGTTATAAGTAGTGTGTTTGTTAATTATTATTATTTCAATAGTTTTTTTATTGTTCACTAGAGTCAGGGGTGCTTCTCCTACAGTACTCCACGGCCAACGTGCACCCCTGTACGGGTAAATAACATAGCATACAAGGCATAACGAGCGATAGCATCCCAAGAACACTCCAGCGGCAAAGACAACCGCCATCTGGACCAGTACAAGAGCAGGGGTGCTCAGCACAATGYCCTTCGCTCTCGTCATCCTTCGTACAGTGATAAAACAAGGCCTTCACGCAACACATGCATGTACAGCAGTCGATCAAATCCTGACATGCGCCCTGGTGTTTGAACGAGTCATCGCAAGGATCCRCGTCCTGGTACTCGAGCTGTTGGCAGAAATTAGTCGTGACTTCCGGAGAGACGACAGTCGTGCTTGTCAGGATAACAGGGCGAGCAGATAGAATGTTGTGAGCCGAGTGAAGACGTTCACGGAATTGGAATCGTTTATTAAGATATGCAAAGTACCTCAAGGGGTTTGCTTCGGCGTGTTGTCCGCGTCGACCCGTGGAAGAACTCGTTTTTATGTTTCCCGTCACTGGCAACGACTTACTTCGTTTCCCCTTAATTTTAACGATTGCCTTTAAAGTATTGTTCGAAGCTTGATTACTGTAGCGGCTACAGCGTTCGACATTGTTTTTATGTCGCAAGTCAACGTCTTTGCTACCCTCGCTTCTCTTGCCATCTTCTGTATTGCCGAGTAACTCCTCCAAGCTGCCTTTTCTTAGTTCTGGGCTTGAAAAAGTTCTTGAAACTTTTGTTTTATTATCTAGTATATCAAACGAATGAGGTCTTGGGAACGCAAGCCCTAGAAGAGGATTCTTTGCGGGCGTTTCTTCTCTTTGTAGCTGAGGTATCCTTGGGTTGYAAACTGGCGCCATGGTTGTCAGTTCAATATCTTCATTTCCGCGCTTTCTTTGATTTTCTCTTGTCGTACTGTCGTTTGCATCACGATTCATGATTTCAAGATGGCGATGCGGTGTTGATAAACTGACATGAGATGGCAGTTGTGATTGTTTTTCTCCTCTTTTGTCGGTTTTCGGTTCCTCTCTTTGTCCCTTGTAGTTGACAGAACGTTCCTCTCTTGAGGACTGTTTTTGCATTGTTGGTTTCGCTATTCTCTCCCSTCCGTTTTCTGTTTTACCATTTGGTACCCTCGCCTCAGCTTTTGCTCGATTCATGTTCAAGTCTGGTTTACCAGCTACCCTGTTCCTCACGCGTGGGTCTTCCCCCATCGCTTTTCGCGCAAAGTTTTGTCTGTTTTCCATCCCGTTCGTTAATATATCTTCCCTTTTGTCTGCCAAGGCAAAGTTTACGTTTCGTTCCTCCTGTCTTAGAACCATCCCGAGAGGTTTAGGCTGATCAGTTATCACCGCATTTTGACTATTCCCCGGTAAATCGTTGGAAATCCCTTGATTCAGATACGAGTAGCTACTCGGTCTTCCCTCGGAAATCTTTCGCCTCCCTTTCGAAGTAATACTCGGTTGTGTGCGACCTGTTGATCCAGAATTACTTGGAGCAKTCTTGCTATGAATATCAGTAATTCGGGTAAGATTGCTTTCGTCAGGATACCTTGAACTGTGGGTGATCAACTGACTATCACTGACCAGTCTTGTTCTGACTCGATTCGTCGAACTAACAGTCAAACCTTCTCCATTACGTCTTGCAGTATCTTGAAGCGTGACCCTCTTATGGCGCTTAGCAAGTCTTGAATCGTTCGTGTGTGAGTTCTGAGAGTTAGGATTGCCACTACCAGTAGTAGATGGGTGCCTTGTCTGTGCCAAGGAGGCGTTATTATAAACAAGGTCACAGTATTCCCTGCCTAAAGTCTCTTCCGTGTTGATGTAAACGTTTTCATCTGCTGTTTTGTCGCCGCGTGGAAGATTCTCCAGAATCGAAGAGTCGAATTTTGAAGCCATTCTGCTTGTTTCCTTATTGACAAGAAACTGCAAACAACGCATGAAAATTTGATGTTAATAGAGTGTAATGATTTAGCTGGTCATACTCTAAGCTGTCATGGTGTTTTTTAAACTCCTATACTTTATTACAATGGTATCTTGGAATATAACCGCTTTTTTAAACATATTACAAGCACGGAAAGTGAGTGGGAAGGTGCGCTGTATTCATTTGTTCATGCAGTTCAGTGTGTGCGCAATTCATTTCACAAAAACGGTCCCCATCTCCGTTCTACCCAAGGGGCAGTTTGTTCCTTTTCTCATTCGTAAATACCACTGCGTTTAATGACTAAGGACTAATTTGCACAGGCTTRGCCTCGTTTAAGAGCAAATCATTTGTAAAAGTCAACTAATTTAAAGAATGCACAAGTTATTTAATACCAATGTTTCAAATCTCATGGAATATTAATGCTATCTATGAATAGCTGACTTGTAAACGAGGCTAAACTTGTTAGAATGAGTCTGGTATTTAAAAACAGCGGTATGCATCGATGCGAAACTGGTGTATATGCCGTCTTCACCACAATGCATTGCGGTTTCGAGGGTGAAAACCGCATTTAATATGCTGAAGACTAATAATAATATGTTAAGACAACCAGAACTGATTAATCAGTATTTTACAGATGAAAGCAGGATTAATACTGAGACCAAGTAACAAGCTGACAAGCAACTTGTATATTCACATCAGACTAGGCCTAACAACGTAATTTCCTTTTAGCTTGAAGCATGAGGTAAAAGGTAAAAATGTGATTTTTGCGTATTCTAGCCAGAAAAGTAATTCTGTTCAATCTCAAATCGCCTATTTTAGATATCGGACCAATATGCGTATTCAATTGAYGAAGAATTGTGGGAAATGTGAAACTGGCCAATTTGGGCCACATCTAAATTCCGACTCTCTTATCCAAAATTTATTATTTGTTCCACGTTTAAGTTAAAACAGAGATATCAACAAACCTGTCCTTCAACACGTTTATTCGATGAAGTACCCTTGGTATCAATGTGAATTGAAGATACTTAAGCACCCGTTCATTGAGTAGTACTTGAGATACACTATTCGTGGTTCGATATTGTCATGACTGTGACTATCATTCCATCTTTTTATTATCATGGAGTGTCGATTAACGTTTAGATATTACAGTATATACCATTGATCATTTCTCTAACAGGTTTCAGTTGTGTCCTAGTAACCATACGAGTTYGACAGACTATCATTCCAATCTATCTCCTTATCATAACGTAGTCCACATGAGTAGCATTTAGTATTAGAATATATCATTAATCACGATTTCGCAGACAGGTTTTCCTTACCGATTCCATGCGCTCTCGAGTTTGTCATGCTTTTTCTCTATTTTCTTGAAGCCTTTTGGTTGGAGATCGAATATGGTGACATGGTTTCAAAAAGTACGTGTGTTTATCTTCYGAAAACAATTTCCGTGTATTGTATAATATTAAAAATTCCTGTTGACTATAAATACGTCAGGAATATGTCGTGGGTTTAAGAGCTTTGGTAATTAAAATTCAATCTAAAAATCCTGTTAGGAAAATACTCGATTGACGTCAGATAATAACATTATACATCTCCAAGGTTGCGCCGAATAGCTTGCTAAAAAAAATCCCCACACATTTACCTTCAAAATCGAACTTAAATTTCTMTGGAGGCATCGAAAATACGATAACTGTCGTTTCCGCTACGTTGACTACGAATTGAAATAATAAGAATGACGTCAAGTCTTTGAGCTGTCTGAGATGTGGTCACAATGAATGCTCCTGAATGAATCCGGGTCGTAAATAGATAATGCCAAATTGTTGAAATTTTAAACCTAGGTTTTCAATGGAAATGATACTCGATCATTACTGGGGTATCCGTATCCGTATCAGTTAGRGTGCTTCAAACGTTCAACATGTCGGCAAAGGAAAAAGTAATGATTGTTTCAAAGTTAAAAATAGAAATGTGTCTAGATATTAAGGTGTCTCGATGGTGTGACGCGCACACAAACGTGCGCAGTGGGAAAAATACAATGAATTTCGTGCTTTTGGCCTTCTACTCTCTAACTTTTACCATGATGAATATAATAACACTACTAATTGATAAAATAAATAACTGCCATCGAAGATTCAATATTGACTCTAACCAATGCGAAGTATGTCATGCTTTCTGCGTAGCTACAGTTTCGGAAATTATTTTTAAAGTTTCTTAAACCTAATTTTTGGCTTCTAAAAGATTCGGTATTTAGTCAGTAGGCAAACTTTTGACAGTCCCGGCCCTGATGTATTTAATAATTCGCATGACAAATTATATTGTCATCAAAATAGTATTTCTCGCTATTGGCTATGGCAACATGGAATATAATGTCAGATTGAGCCTGGTTTTGAATGAACGTTTTAGATCTGAAGACGCTGATCCAAGCGATGTTCGGTGGGTGCTTATGACCTCCCCGGCATTCCTTCCCAGCATTTTGCGAAAAAGTTTACAGAATCTTACAGGTGAACCCTCGAATTAAGGTCCACGCGACTCTATTTCAAGTTGCAACAACATTAAAGACAACAATTTGTCTCAGTTCTTGGATAAGTTTCTGTTGGTAGCTTACCGGCATCTTTCCAATCACTACTTAAGCTCTTTCGATTTCTCTCGAGGTTTTGTTCACTATATTGAATCCAGCATGTCATCAGCCATGGCTTTTGGACTATAGCAGCAATAGCATTCGATGTATAATGATATAAAATTGTAGTCAAGATATGTGCTTACATCAGTAATGCTCAGTCAATCATCCATGGAGGTTCAGTATGTTATTCAAGAGAACCACTTGTTTATTGCGTGTTATAGGAAGCTAAGGATAATGTATACGTGTCGAAACGTGCGTCGACGTCAGCGTTAATGAAAAAAAATTTTTTTCTCAACGAAAATAATTAAGAGTGCGTAAACTGATTTTGTAACGCGTTACCTGAATGCACAACTATAGTAATCAACATCGATAAATGTTATACGACAACGGCCTCTTWAAATTAATATTCGAGTAGTATTTGATAAGATAGCCAGTCCAGGGTAAAGAGGTTTATCAGGGTACAGGGCCGGGATAGTATGATCCGGATACAGGGGAAAGTATGTTCAGGGTACCCTGAACATACTATCCCCTGTATCCTGAACATACTATCCCCTGTACCCTGAACATACTTTCCCCTGTATCCGGATCATACTATCCCGGCCCTGTACCCTGATAAACCTCTTTACCCTGGACTGGCCATCTTATGTTCAGGATAGTATGTTCAGGATACAGGGGATAGTATGGTCAGGGTACAGGGGATAGTATGGTTAGGCTATAGTCTAGTCAGAGTATAGTCTGGCCAGAATACAGGCGATGGTATCGCTAGTACAAGGGATAACCTRTTTAGGGTATGGGGGATAGTCTCGGATACAGGGGACGGCGCGCGTAGCATGGGAAATCGGTGCAATATACTACTAGTATCAATATATAGTTACTTTCTTTTTTGCCGTTTTAGATATACTTATTTCAATAAAGTCAGTCACCAAAAACCTAGAAAGCTGTGATCGCTGAGAATCACGGGGAAATGTTTTATATCCAAAAAGTAAAGCTTTTGACAAAAACTGCAGCAGTTGAGGATGCTCAGAGGAGGTTAATTTGTAACTGGTAGAAGATCTCAAGTCCATCAACAGTTATCAAGCGGTTGAAACATGTAAAATGTATCTACCCATAATCCTTGCCGGTCTCAGCCTTGTAGCTTTTCAGGCGACTAACTTTATTGAAATAAGTGTATCAGACAACTTTATCATTCCTGACAATACCTATCAAATGGGTGCACCATTTTTGTAGACATGACGTCCACCACGAATAAAACGTACTTGATATATGAGATTATATCTTATTTTTCTGAGGTCTTTTGATTGTCATTGTGTTATATTGCCCCTAGGCTTTGATCCCTACACGAGCTTTCATTCACAAACTACACTCGATCCCTGCTTCCTGAAGTACTTGTAAATGAAATTGACAAATTACCGAAGATTTTCGTTTGTAGAAGGAACAAAGACCTTGCTATTGCAATTGTTCGTCATTATATAACTGCTTTTCAGATTTCTTTCCGGCAGAATCAATTGAATCATTCATAGTTCCTCAGTGTCACGTTTGCGAATTTCTTGCACTAGCGGTCAATGTAATTTAAAGTGTTTTAGTGTCATTGAGCCAAAATGAATAGAATTCTGGAAACGTTCCTTCAAAAACTTGGCTAAATCGACACTTGGTCTTACTCCATGAAAAYTTGAACAATGATGACGAAAAACCGGGTTTCAAAAGTAACTAACGAGATGATATATAATTTCCATTTGTCGCAGAAAGGATTTTGCTCGCTTCCGGCTATAGCTTCGGCTCTACTTTTCGAAATTAGCATATTAAATTCAGTATAAACCCTTTTTAGTACGTCTCCGTTTTTGTTTTGTTTTTTTTTCCTTTTTTTTTTTTTTTTTTTTTTTTTTTTTTTTTTTTTTTTTTTTTTTCCCTGAGGCTGACCCCTTTTGAATTACGCTCTTTTATGCGTGTGTTCCCTACGTCATAGTTTCACGAGAAAAAATCTATTCCTATCGGCCGAATTTACTAGTAAATGTAATATATTTGATCTTCGTTTTAGATGATATGATTTATTTTATTGGAAGATGAATGCAGAATTCGAAGAGCTGAATGTTGATAGAAAAGTTCTCATTAGGTTCGTTTTGTTTTTGCATTCAACAGATCAGTCCATCTCCTTGAACCAAACATTTCATTTTCCAGTTTAATTTAAGTATTTTTTTACTCTAATTCCTATTGGTTTTTGTTTTGTTTTTTTTCAAATTAGACAACTTACTAGGATTAAAATACTCATATGTGAATCATGAAGCATGTTCGAAATTCTCTTCAAATTGTACGGTGAAGAAAACAATTAATCGCTTTTAGTACTGATTTTTTTCAAAAGGATTGAATTTCCGTTAGTGGAAAAATCTACGAGTTGTTTTGAAAATTGATAAATAATGCTAACTCGTTAGTCTATTCAGATGACAGTTAAGAAAAGCTATGTTTGATGAATATTATAGAAAGATATTAAATAAATACTTTGTGGACAGGGGAGAGAAAGAGTGTATTTAACCGCTATTTTCTGTAACACATAAATTCGTACTTTATTTAGGTCGATATACTACAAGTGGAAAATGAGAATTTCTAGTAAAATACAAGGAAAACCCCCGTTAAATAAATCTTCAAAAACATAGTCCAGAATGTGAAAAAATATATATTTATATAAGGAAGTTATTGATTTACCTTAACGAAGGATTGGTTTGAGCTTGGCAACTCTCGAAGAAAGGATGGTGTCTGTTCTCATCATTCCCTTGCTAAGCTTGCGTGGCGTCAAAACTCCTCTCTTTGCATATAGAGAGTCTTGCTCAAGTTGACTTTCAACTGGTGAATGACGTCAAGCAATCTTCAAACTGTCTATTTGGGTCAAATGGAATCGAATGAATTTAACATGGAACTGGCTCAGAAATTTATGCTACTTTTTGTAAACACTCACGCAAATAAACCTCTCTTCGTTGAACCAGGTGATTTCACTAATCTTGTGGGAAGGTGAAAACAGGAATATTCAGCGAAGTTAGGTGACATTATTTGTAAATCATTTCCTCTTCCAGTCAGAGTTATTAAAGGTTAACTAAATGTTGGGAAGGTGATAGATAATAAACGCCTAAAATAAAGTAATTTTGCCTCTTCGATCGCGAGAATAACTTGAGAAGAAATGTAGACGATAAAATGTTACCGTTTTCGGAGGGCAAATAAAAAAGACAAATACCGCGATGATATTATGTAAAGTATTATTGAGATTAGATTCCTCGTTTTAATGTTAGTGGTAATAATCAAATATGTAATTTAAAGCCACGCTGCCTGTGACAGTAAAGTACGTACCGCTGTTTGAGTCGGAACTCCGAAGCATAGAAAACAAGAATTGTCGCAAAAAAATACTGTAATCGTGTTAATAAAAAATTCGATTTTTTTTTTTTTTTTTTTTTTTTTCAAATCTTGCCACCATACACAATGATTCGAATCGTGATAAGTTTGATTATACGTTTGAAGAATGAGTATAATTTATTATTAAATGTTCTTCTGCTCAAAATTCAAAATAAGTTAAGATTAGAAATATTTTCAGAATGATATGATGTGACAAGCTTAGCCAGTCAATGCTAGCAGGTTTTTAAGATGTTTGAATGAATATTTTTGACTAGTTATAAGGAGTACGTCTGCTATAATGCCAAGTTTAGACTAGAGTTGTGTATTTAATAATTGGCTGTCAATTCGAATTTTCCGTTTCAAATATCAGAAATTAAATAAATGGGAAAGAAATTTTAAAAAGATAGAAAGGTATCGGAAAGAAAAGAAAAGGAGAAAAATAATAAAAAAAGAAAAGATGAGAGAGAGGAAAAATATAGAAGGAAGAAAGGAACTCAAGATACGAAAAAAAAAGAAAGAAAGAAAGAAAAAAAGAAAGAAAGAAAGAAAGAAAGAGAGAAAGCAAGGAAATAAGGAAATAAAGGAAAATTAAGAATAGAAAAAGATAAATCATGCTATGAACGGTCATTGAACGGATGGATCAGCAAGCGCGTGCTTTCAATTGAACAGTGATGCATGAGTTTCAATTTTTGGCTACTCTATTTTGTTTTTTATAATCATGTCGAAACGACTACGTTAATGCATTGAGACACATTCGTATGTAAAAATACATCTTATCAGATCTAATTCAGCTCAGAATAGTTCAATACGTCTATTTTTATAAAAACAATTTTAGTATCAACTATTTTTAAAGGACTTTGTTCGCTGTTTTAATACCTTTCACTGACACAACGAGTTTCAAAATCGTAAAATATCCTTAGATAAATGAAAAACTTCGAACTATCGCTTTAAACTTGTTAAAACCTATTCTGGTAGTGAACATTACAATATCCAAATATTTCAATATTTATTTTAGTATTTTTGTGTAAGTGTTTTTGAACTACATTGTTTTTCTCAATATTTATTTTGGTTCCTCCATAGACTCGAGAGTTGTTTTCATTCATCAATTGTATATTTATTCGTGCTGTTTGAAATCCTTTTTTCATCTTGTTTTTATCGTCATTATTTACTCGAGCCGAAAATTGCGTGGTAGTATCTTTACTTCCTTGTCGTCAACGTCTTTGTCTTTAAAAATGTTCTATATATCCGTGTCATCTCCGTCATATTTATCGTGTTTTTATCTTGTGTTTATGGTGTTTCTATAAATAATCGGCGTTGTGGGCAGTTCGTGATTTATGAGGCCAGGCTCTGAAAGGGGTAAAATGGGACCTGGAATTCGCCATTTTCGGGCTGGGAAAATGGGATGTTATGCRCTGGGAATGAGATCACTGCACAAAACAAACAAAAAAAAAAACAACAATTAAAATGGGCTTTTGTTAAAATGGGGCTGGGACTATGGGATAAGGACCCCCTAAGATAAGAACCCTCATTGCAAAAAGAATAAGTTCCTTATTTGTTGCAAAAAAAAAAACGACTTTATTGACACTATTACGTTTGAAAAAAAATATAAGCAGGTCACGAAATTTTGATTTTATCATATTAAATAGATATTTATATATATTTGCTTAATATTAAGTGTTTACATTATCCTGTTAACCAGCTATCCTATGAACTGTGAAATTCTAAACTCCTGTCAGCGTCTGCGATCCTGGGTCAGCGGTGCTATRTGAAAGACATTACGTCATTCATGCTCACTGATTTTTCATCATTATTTTTTCATTCAGTTAGCGAGTAGCAGATTTCTAATCACAGCCGAAAATCCATGCAAACACCGTTCGTTTTTCAAAATAGCGTTTCTACTAAAAACTTCACATGTAGGAACCTAACTTGTCGAAACGCACTCAAGACCGAAGTACAAAACATGTTGCTGTGGTAACCAGTGACGTCATCGCCGCCTCCATCTTGGTTGAACCGTATGTGCGATCATTTAGATTGTCGCTGTTGATAGTTCAACGTTGTTAATCATTTTATTTCAACCAACATGGTTGCAGGGTCTTTAGCTAAAAAGAGCTTTTCAACCAATAATAAKATGTTTTTTTGGTCTAGGACTTAACTTGTTAGCTATCGTACTAAATTAGTCAGAATCTTATTCACACGAGCTGTTTTAGTATACCACTCGCGCATGCTCAGTTTCGTCATTTGCAGGTATACTGGTCCTTAATGCTCTCGCACACCTTGCATTTGACTTTACAACACCAGATAAACTTACAAGCGCATTGGCGAGTYTCTCGGATGGTCCGCGTGTTATAGCCACCTCCGCAACACAAATTCTCGCACCTGTCACGACCATYGGAATCCTTCTTACATTCTCGACCCGAGGTACCGACGATTCCAAGCCGAGCGTTCCGCACGCAGTAGTTCGGAGAAGATTGTAGATATATCAGTGAAGTGTCAGGGACATGGACTTTCCACTTCTTGCGGTCTTGCCTTCGAAGTTTCTTTTTTCTTCGGACGTACACGACGGGGATAGCGYTGAGGTATTTGTCTTTAAGGTAGGACCCAACTTCTTCGAAGTTTGGCACAGAGTCCCAGCAGGTTTTGACGGCGCAGGAGCTGGAAACACCATGGCAACGACACTGTGGTTTCATAAGGGTCACAACGGCCTAGGAACGAATGATTAAAAATGAAAGTTAARTGAGAAGTCTATGCGTATGTCGCCCGTGCTTCTGTAGGGAGCCTGCGAATGTAGTCTTAAAGTGGGAAAGGCAAGGGAAAAAATATCTGAGCAGTGTAATCGCGAGGCTCAGGTTCGATCTCTGAACTCGGCATCAAATGTGAGCCGAATGCGTTAGGTCTTTCCCTTAATTCGAGAGACTAGTTCTCCGGATTCTTCTGTTTTCAAAAAACCATAAAACTTAATAGCGATAAATTCCAATTTCATATTTGTGAGTTAGCCGTGCTCTTCCAATTTCATATTTGTGAGCTAGCCGTGTTCTCACTTAGATCAGCCC